GCACCCTTGCATCTCTATCTACCCCCCGAGAAGCGATTCCGTCGGTGTTGCCAGCCTTCTTCTCTTCTCTGAAAACAACTGACTTGCAAATGTCTCCCAACTCGAAAACTAGAGCGCATTGAGAGTACTTTCGGTGTCAGAGTCGAAATTCTGCCAAAATGACCCATTCGCAAAGCCGTTCGCTCAACCGGCAGCCGAAACGACCGATAACAACCGAGTCTCGTCTAAAACATGACATTTGGCGTGCCGTCACCCAAGAAGCGGATGGTGCTGTCACAGACCTACTAAAGAAAAATGACAGTGGTATCGAATTAGGATGTCGTAAGCTTCAATATTTGGTCACCGCCCTACGCGTTGTCACAGACGAGGATCTGAAAAAGATTGATGATAAGGTCCAAGAACTCGTTATGGTGAACGTAGACCACAGTTGCTCCGTCTTAGCTATTGCCTTTTATCGAGACTTATCTAAGGATGTCGAGTACATTCTTCAGAAAGTGCCTACTTCAATCGACGCGCCGTGTGACGATGCGGGCCTAACTTTGCTTCAGGCAGCAGTCTTACTCTCAAAGGTCGATATGGTTTCTCGAATACTCAAAGATCTGTCACTTCCTCCATCCCAGCGTGTTAACGTTAGCGACAAGTCGGGAGACACGGCTCTTCATGTTGCGGGAATTCCTTGTGGTAGAGCCTATAAAGAGATCAATACCCCATCAACTTCTCTCCCAGAACAAAGCCAGAACTACGAAAACATCATACAGCTTCTGCAGCATGGAGCGAACATTGACGCTCAGAATGACAGTTTCCGCACCCCTCTTCATTATCTTATATTGGAACCATTCGGCGAGGAGACAGTGGCAATTGCAAAATTGCTTCTCGAGAATGGAGCCGAAGTAAATACGAAAGATAATTATGGTGAGCTTATAATGACTCGCATCAAATCACTCATGACTGAAGAGGAATCTAGGAGACTCACCTCTACATGATGCTTGCAGACGAGGGGACCATGATTTGATTAGATTGCTGGTTGATAATGGCGCCGATTTGGACTCCCGCAATTTGGACTGGACGACCCCTCAAGACTTATTCTTGAAGAAAGAACCCCTCCTAGACGCCGACAGACAGTTTGCCAAAGATACCTTCTACAGACTGAAGAAATCGGTCGCAGCTCGTGAGAGACTAGGCAACGTACCTCGAAGGCCAGCAGGGTGCCTCGAAGGAACCAGAAAGATCTGTGCTGAATTTCCAGTCTATTTTCGCTATCAGTGGCCCGGAGTGGAACCTAACCTGGATGGTAGTGCTACTATGTCCTGGGTTCGGACTGACATGAAAGTGTCTCATATTCTTTACCCTCAAGACGGTGAGGATAAAGGTGGCCTTGAACCTGTAAATGGGGGTGAGGGCTTCCTTTCCCAATGTGAGGACAATTTCAAGGAAATGGTATGGAAATGTTGGATGGAAGAACACAGTGCCAAAATGGGAAAGAGAGAAGGAGAGACTCTACCGGAAGCTGGGCGATTAGAAACACAGGAATTAGAAGCGCCGGTGAAGGATAAGGATACCGTCGATCCGAAATCCCGACTCCAAAGCGATATCGCGAAGAACGCTTGGAGATGGATTAACTTTCCGTCTAACAACGTAAGTCAAGTACTTATTTAAGGCGGAACAATTCACTAAACAAGTTACTAGATGACATGGATAAAGGTCAAATTGAAATTTCCCAAATATTGGACAAGCTATGGACTACATGACTTACTTTTTTTGCTTTCGGACAGGACTTTATCATACATAACTCTAGATCGCGAGGAGCAGATCAGGTGGATCTGTGGACCTGGAGATTTTTCGAGGAAAATATCCGAGTTCATGAGACCAACAGCTTATACTCACGGGTCAGGGTACCGCACGCACAGGCAAGTTCAATTCTTCTCACGAAATACAGTTTTTAATAAGCATGGCGTAGGCTAGTAAAGGGCGAGAAAGCAACAACCAACCAGAACAGACAAAAGGAAAACGCTCCGAACTGACAGAGTCGAAAGAGAATGCAAAGCAAGAGGCAGGGCCGATGTTATCAAAGGGTACTAGTGAAGCCCCTCACATTGCTGCTGATGCTTCACAGTCCAGTCCTCTTGCAAAGAACCAAGTCAAATCCGACGAAGAGTCGGATGCCAAAATATCATGGATGAATACTGATTCATTCTCAAAATCTGGCAAGATGTTATCTCTAGTGGTATGTCAGACGGGATGTCAGCATATTCTAAGAGACGTGGCGTTGACCCAGGCCCCGATAGATACCATTCTTAGACATCGAGACAGAGGATCAATACCAGTCAGGATACGATGGTCTAGATACTCAATGTCAGAGAGTAACCCGGCTCAATGAGGCTTACTTCCCTTTTACCGGTATGCACGGCGTACAACCCTCACAGACACTCGACCAGATATACTATAACACTGACGGGGGCGATAAATCATTGCATACGGAGCGGGAGCAAGTGATTTATCGGTGGTCTGAGAATAGAAATAGAAAGCGGAAGGAGCAACAAGATCAGCAGTTGGGAAATAATGATACGGTCGAGGTGCAAGACACTGACTCGATTACTTCTCAACAATCTCAAGACGATGCTAAGCGTACCATTCTCAATAAGTTGATGGTATATGGCCAAAACCTATGGAGAAGGGCATGGAATCGAAATCACAGACCGACTCAACAATTACTAGAGACTCCGGAAAGGCAACAACTACAGTATAGCGACACCGATAATATTAGACAGAGCAGGCGTGGAGGTAGACAGGCTGCTAATGTTAACGCTAAGCATATTCGCGCAGATTTATCTTCGAAGTGGCTCATGATTCGCCAATTGTGGCTGTGGAAGCTCGATAACAGTGAGCAGAAACCCATGAGTATTGTCGTCAAGGGAGCTAACTCAAGCTTTCAACCTAATAGACACGGTTGTGACCGCCATACCATCCCGTAAGAATGGGATGATAGCTGATACGCTGCTCGAGACAATACGCCAGGGTGATTTGGATATCCTCCAGACTCCAGACGATCTGATTAAGCGCATCGTCAATGACACGTTGACCTTTGTGAGCGAGTTCAAGTGGGCAGGACTCGGCGAGCACGTCCTCGATATTTTCGAGAGTGAAATTGCAACTAGGGTATAATTTCTTCCAAATTACTTTCTATCTCTTTGATGGAGCTGACCTGCCTGGATTCATAGACGGATAAGGAGGAGGCGTTCTTCGCAGAATTCACAAACGGCAACTGGACCCCAAAAGCCGTGACAACATCGATTCAGGACGCTGCTCACTGCACTTACCACGTCAAAGACATTCGGGACGAACTTCGCCTGCTTCGGCAGCTATTCGAGACCCAAAGTAAAGTAGCGTCAGACTTCGCTTCAATATTCTGGCCAAGTGGGGTCCCCGGAAGCCAGAAACAAGACAGAGTTGCTTCGAAAGACTTGCGTGAGAGTTTTATTAACGACTGTGGTCTCCAATCTCTGATCCAGCGAGTCAAGAGGATGGAGAACGATGCCTCAACCACACTTGAAGGGGTAGGTTTGTAGGAGAAGTACACAACTTCTTCCCTTTCTATATTCTTCCACACACGCGGGATTATGTCTGCTGACCTTCGATTTCCCTTTTAGTTGAACACCATTATCCAAGCAATGCAGGCGCAGGCATCGCTTAAAGAAGCCGAAGCATCACGCTCCTTGAATCTGATGATCCTTCCATTCACAATTGTTACCGTTATCTTTGTGAGTTCGAAGTATTCAGCATGCAGTGATTATGCTATCAGTGATGTGTTGCTTATATAAACGTAGACTCCCCTCTCATTTCTCACAAGTCTGTTTGCCGTCAATACCACAGCTTTCCCGCATAACGACGACGGAGAACTCAGATTATCTGCGTCATGGTTCTCTTGGAGACTGGGTAAGATGGGTGTGCAACATTGGGCTACTTATGCTAATCGTCCCTTAGTCGCCGGTGAGTTGTCCTCGCTGCTCCCCCTCGGGCTACTAGTCCTTCTGATATATTATTGGCAAATGGTTGAGAATGGTAGGTGATGACATTTTAAGAGCAAATCATTTTTTCAAGCAGAAGCTGACGAGAAGTAGGGGGAAGCTTTTCTATCCGAAACTCCCTCTGGCGTCGCCTAAAAAGGCAAAAAGTGACGGACAAACCAAAGTTCGACGTATGATAATTGTAATTTAGTTTGAACATTTATTTGATGATGAGGGTTGCGTTTTCTTCAACCTAACACTTAGTTTGAACATACTATTTAATTTGCCGTGGGTAGGACGATGTAAAGCGAGCGCAAGGCCGAGATGCACTGTTCTGGCAAGGACTTCTACATATTGCACTGCCCACATCGAAAGACCGCGAGGATGCGAGAGACTTCTTTCCACGGCGTTGAGATTGCAGATAGTACTTTGAGAGCACTTCTGAAGGCTTCCTCTGGTTGCATCACAAGTTGATCACCCCTGAAATCGTCTACTTGAAGTTGATTGATGATACCCTATCGACTCATATTTGAAACACTGAGCTTAAGTGGAATGAAAAGAAAGTCCAAGGCCGTGCAAGGACTTGTAGAAATCTTGTGGAACACCAAGTCTGCGAATCCTCTAAGCGCAAGGAAAATGCCTCACATGACCATATTATGGCCTTGAGCAGCTTGTATAATCACGGGCTATAATGATCAGCCTTCTGAATACAAGACCCAGTAGAATAACAAGCCAAATATCAATAATCTGTTTGAATATTGCATTATTCGCTCTAGCCCACCGTACTTTTGAGTCTCTCGTATCGGAACGCATACATATAGGTGAGTATCTAAACCATTCTGGAGAGAGCCACCCTTCCACCAAGAAGTAAAACGAGTATAGCTCTAAAAGTCAAACTTCTTCAAGATAACATAGGCAACTAAATAGAAAATATCTCTCCATGGTTATTCTATTCTACAAACACGTATTCTTATGCTGTGTTTGCAAACAGTAGGCTTAATAGACATAACGGAATCCTCTCTTCTCATAGTCCGTCAAATCCTCAAGCTGCTCGTCCATGGTCACTTCGACATTAGTTCCTTCCCTCTTGTCTCTAATTCGATTTTCGATGATACATCCAACCATATATCCAAGCATACAAAGAATAGCGGCAACCTCGAAGCCGAGGATGGAATTATATCCCGTGGTGTAAGCAGGTGCCTCCGTTGAGATGAAGACTTGAGGCCCAACAATATTGGCAATACAATAAGCTAGAAATACGGTAGCGTTGATTGTCGTCTTCTTGCTGTGACCGGAGACATTTGCCATAGGTAGTGACAGAGCTATAGCAACAGTTAGTCCCTCGATCATACTGCAGAAATCTCGCGGGGACTTACCTGTCGCGTAGGGTCCCCAGAAAAAGTAGAAGAAATAATATGATAGTAACCGTCCAACTTTGTTTTCCGAGGGCAATTCTATAGAGTATGTAAGTTGGGAGCCGTTTACCAGAGGACGTCATATCGCTTACTTCTGATGAGAATGGAGCATGCGAGAGGGACCAGACAGCATATTGCGCATGATATACAGCGCTTGTTCTTCAGCCATCGCTGAGGAATAGCCACCATGAAGCCAGCCAGACTTTGGATCATCCCGGTGGGCATTCCCAACAGAACCGTGTTAAGTGGCGAGTATCCCAACCCTGATACAATCTGGGCAGCAAAGGTAACCAAACCGCCCGTAGGCACGTTCATGCAGAAAAAGAAAAAGAACAAAAGGTAAGTCTTATAGTCAGTGAAGGCCTCCCGCACTTGATACCATTTGAGATGCTGTTGAGTATAAGCATAGTGAAGGGTCTGTTTGTTTAAGATAACATACCTTGTTCTCAATACCAGTCATGTTATCCTTGACACGGTCCAAGGCTATGTACTTTTCCTTGCCCTTCAAAAAGCTTTCCTTTAAAGGAGAGTCCGGTAAAAACAGAAGGAGTATCGCGCCCCAAACGATAGTAATCGCACCCAAAACCAGGAATAATAGTCTCCAAGAGGCAATTGCTGTATGAGTACGCCCGATACCATACGACAATACACCTGTGACTAGCTGTAGGAAGGTTAGCTAACCTCGCGCTTTCTCGCAGAAAATAGGAAGACGTCTGGATATCACTACTTACTGATGAAAAAGCCGTGAAGGTCAAAGCCATGCGAATGGGCTGTTCTGATTTCTTATACCACATGGTATTCAGCACCGTGACCGCCGGAAACTCGATGGCTTCTAGAGCACCAAGAATAAATCTCATAACCATCAACCCAGGAGCGTTCTTGGCTGCAGCTAAGCACATGACCATTGCGCCCCAGATGAGTACAGCAGCACTCAGAGATTTGCCAACAGGTAGTTTCTGCAAGACTACATTCATCGGATACTCTGCAACAAGCCAACCGAAATAGAAGATCGAGCCAACTGCGCGAAGTGTATGGTCAGCTGAAGTGCTGCCCATTAATGTCAATGATTCCTCACCCCAACTATATTCTTGGCCCTTGAGATGGGTGTCCTTTGTCATCCCGTACAACGCAGCGTTGGAGATGACAATTTTCTAAAATTTGTTAGTAGGAGAAATGAACCATTCCCTATGAAAAACATACATCGACAGCCGCAATTGTAATAGTGCCAACCAGCAAGGGCATCAGCCGCCAGTCGATCTTTCGGAGTACATACGCAGCCTCAGAAGGATCATAATTGGCCCATTCTTGCTCATGATCGTGGAGGTAATGGGCGGCTTCATCGGCAACACGGTTGAGCTCTTTGTTGTCGGGACCATGGACAGAGCCCGTCTCAAGTGTAGGAGGTTGGGGAGCAACCTCCAAGCTGGTTTTACTCTCCTTCGTCATGACGAAGAAGGAAGATCTGCTCAAGTGGAGCGTTTGCGAAGTTGTTGAACGAAGCAAGGCAAGCGAGGGTGTCCGACACGCAGAATACAGTTACGGACTGTACCCCTTATTGGGAACCTGTCGCTATATGACAACACTGGCCAGGTGCCTTCCGCACCTTCAATCCAAATAGATACGAAAGAGCTTAGGCCTCACCTAAACATCTCTTATCTCCCCCACAATTTCAATGAAGCACATGAAATCGGACCAGAGTCCATAGATAGGTCAATATGACAAAGGAGGGTACCTTTCCGTGTTTTGCGGGGTGAGTGGCGGACTATTGTGCGACGCTTGGGTCCAGACTCCAGCGTCGGCCGGCTCTCCGGGGGCGGTACGCGGAGAACGTGCGAAAGTTTGGGATGGGTTCCACGAGGATCTGCAATTGTGATGTCCGGACAGAAGTCGAGAATCCGCCACTCTTGGTATATTTGGCACGTACTTGAGCTGTGTCTGAGGCTCTGGATGCAAATTGATCGGCCAAATATCTACTGAAGTGTTTTCCAACCTCGAATTACATTTCTCAAAATTTCAGCGCCCGTTATTCCTTGTATAAGACTACAGAAATGGCCATTCTTGATTACGAATACGCTCCTAACTCCTACCCTGCTGCGGTCAAGCGAGGCATTGACTTTCTTTATGAGGCCGCAGACCGCAAACCTGCGGTGGATGCGTGGGTCGATTGCTTCAGCAAATCAGGGGCTGTTGTGAAAAATGACTTCCAAGCATCTGGCCATGATGGTATGTCTACATGTGTATCGAATAGGTAGTTATATTAGGAGAGTGCTGATAGATTATGTATAGCGATCAAGGCGTTCCTGCTCAAGGGCTGGGAAAACACCAAGTGGCGTGACCACGATGTTAAGAAGGTCACCGTTCTGCAGCAATCGCCTTTAAAGCTCTCCATTGAGGGTGAGACATACTATCTGAGAGATGATGGTTCAAGACAACACGGAAAGTGGACGGCTGTACAAACCTATGTCGAGGAGGAAGGAGCCTTCAAAATTGCTAAATATGAAATCAGCTTTGTAGGTCAACAATCCCTGCTTTATTGAGATCAAGCTAATGTGTTAAACCTCATAGACGATGCTGTAATGGGTCATGGCCTCTGAATATTCATGAAGTAGTGATAATCATATCAGTAAATAGAATCATCAACAATGCTCTGATTTAAAGCCCCTAGCTCCACCACAGTCACACGTTTCAAGTCGTATCATCATCGAGATATGTTCAATGGACTCATTAAACGCCAATAAATAGCCAACAGCACGCCGGACATGGTCCTTTCAGAATAAAACATCGCTATCAAAATCGAAGAGATCCATTCCTTCAAACGGTAAGCTTGTTACGAAGTCCATGCCGTCTCCTTGCATGTATTGTGGCCTGATCTTATAGACCATTTCTTCAATGAGGGAGATAACTGCGTGATGAACATGCTGCATTCTCAGACCCATGATGTATCCCTCTATTTCCATCTTCCTGTGCTTGGGAAATGTTGGGGCAATGTCCGGAGCGCCAGAGGCAGACAGAAGTGGTCCATAAACGCCGTTGACTGAGGCGACATTCAGGGTGACTTCGGCGAGCAGTTGGTATGCGCGAAGAAAGATGCTTGCATCCGGCCAACGATTTGCAAAACGCGCGATTGTTGTGAGGCAAGCCTGGGCTCCCTCGAAAATATTGCGTGTAGACGAGTCAGGGGACCGGAGGGTTGGTGGTATAATCCAATAGCAATAGAGGGCCATTATGCCAACACGGAATTGATACATCAGCTATGTTTTCGTCAATAAGAGGCCATGTGGGAGCTGATTATGAGCTTTGACAATGCGATACTTACTGCTGACCAGGTCCAGTATATGACGGAGTCCCTCTCCTGGCACTCCCTGAAGGTCAAACAGGCCTCGCTGCATGCCTTTGTTAGTTGCTGTAGGTCCTCAGTACCCATCATATCAGGCTGGTCCTGCATAAGTATGGACAGACTATAGTCGTATAGCTTTATTAGGGACGTCGGATTATGGTAGATTAGGGAATTCTGAGAGCTTTCATTGGTGGTGAGTGCATGGATGCTCTCCTTCCAAAGATGGAGCTCTTCCTTGAGGCGGGTCCGGGTCCACTCCCGGAACTGATCAGAAGGGTCAAGATTCTTCAGTTTTCTATTGTAATGGCGGATTTTGGATTGGATGCAGCGCAACTGGAACAGGTGCTCGAATATACCATATTGCTCCTTCTCGATTCTCATTCTCGTGGCGTACTCAAAGATCTAAGCATTGACTATTAGGATCATCTCTAATTTGCGAAATCTTTTCTGGCACTGTACCTTTTGGTCGAGGAATTCGAGCATGAAAGATTGAGAATAGGTCCATCCGGATGAGACAACCTCATTCAGAATATGGCAGCTCATAATCGTGTGCCTACGAACTTGTTGTTCGATGAGATCTTCTTGGCTCATACTATCACTGGAAAGACCGCGTTCTTGGTCTTCTGTGATCAAGCTGCCGCAATTGACTGCCACCAAGGCAAGAGTGCTATGGATTGGCTCCATTGAGAGGCCGTGAAGGATATATATCAGTAAAAGAAGTGATGCTTGCGTTCGTACGAGTGCTGAGGGGTGTTGCATGATGTGTGATAGATGATTTCTGATCGCCCCATCGTGTAAACTCGACGCGTGGGACAAATGTGGCCCATCAAGCCGCGATGAATTACAGAGTAATGCTCCAATGGCCAAAACAACTCGAATTATGAACTTCTGGCTTGATTCCAACTGATTGTCTTTTGATCTCCAGAGGAGAAATCCTTTACGCCACGATGACTCGTTCAGAAACGACCATTGAGGTTGGATATGTTGGAAATACATGTGGGCGTAATGCTCTAGCCAGTCGTCACCCGCTGGAAGTATGTCGCTGAAGATCGGAGTCGGGGCTGCGAAACTGTCGATGAATGAATAGATGGGCCGTTGTTCGACGGTTGGTGACGGAACCAAGTGCTCATCGTTTGCTGTTGAAGGGAGCTCGGAGCGACTGGCTCCTGAGTTGAGAGAAACTGGCGTTTGTCGCGTGATTGCTTCTAAGTTGATAGCATTGGCTCGGTGTACAATTTCGGGGGCACTTCTAGACATGAGCATCAGACTCGTGTCATTTGCTGTACCATCAAGGTTCGAACCCGAAACTAATATTCCTTCTGTAGATAGCTGAGAGCTTTTCTCGTATCCGCTATTCAGCGATTGTGACGCGGCTGAAGCACTACCAGGGCTTGCGCTGTCATTTGTAAGGCTCACCCCATCACTGCGACTCCGAGACCCCTCGAGTTGAGATAGCCGTGACTCCAGTTGATAGAGGTATGATACGGGGATGGTGGTGTACTTTCTAGATCTTTGTGAGCCATACTGCACACACTGAGCGCCGCTTCTCCTACACTCGCCGCATATCGGTATGGCATGATCGCACTTCTTCTTGCGAGTTCGGCAGCGAGTGCATGCGATACTGCGTGGCGGTTTGCGAGTCGCATTGGCTCCTGATTGCGCATCTTGCTCCATCGAGCCTGGCTCCAGGACGCCTGCTGTGAATAGTGTGCCTCAGAACCGTCCCCTTAGGACAATAAGAAAGCAAATGGCTTGATACTTTACAAAAAGCGTCAAGTGGAATTGCAAAATGCCCTGATATGCTTCTTTCTGCTGAATAGCTGACAGGAAGAGGGGAGATCATCATCGCAAGTCTCGTAGGGAAGGGTCTCAAGCATCGAGGACGGGAGCTTCGTCCTTGACACTAACATTTTATTATGGCAGCGTCGCCACTCGATGTTAAGGTCCTACGTCTTCATGCCTGTAGTCGGCGCTCTAAAACTCAGCCGATCCACAAGTAGATAAGGGCGGGGAAGAGATACAGGTATCTATTTGACTAAGGCATCTCGGGCTGCATCACTGCATTGATTGATGCAGAGATAGCTGGTTGTGGAAACCGCTAGCAGCAGTTGGATCCGGGGCGAGGTCCACTCGGCTTGGGACCGGTCGACTGGTATGGCGGACTTTTGGCCGCCCGCGAGGTAAGGCCTCGTACCACCATTGGTTTTCTATTATCTAAGGTTTTGATGTTGGAAGGTATACAAGGGTGTACATAAGAAAGTCAGCATGGAAAAACCGGTGCACATGGCCGAATTCGAGATGCAGGGACTAGTAAGACCTGTTGCACTGGAATTACTAGCATCGGATTATCGAAGCCAAGATCAACGCATTCGGAGGAAAGTTCAGCAATACTTGGCCATCATGCCGTCTGCAATAGCTACAACTATACCGAACCAGAATCTCATCAACCTACAGCTTGGGTAGGGCAACTGGTTTGCTCACTTGATCAAAATCGTGGCGCTAATGGTGTGATGTTAGGTGGCCCTCGCCGTCTCTATTTCCTTCAGAAGCTCTCGCCCGAGCTGCGAACGCCACTCTCTTAAATGAAGACAATGCTGCAGCAACACTTGTCTATGGTCCAGATCCCGGCAACTCGTCACTGAGGGAAGCTGTTGCCTCCTGGCTTACGCGCTTTTATCAGCCCAAGGCCGGCCCTATTGGTGCCGACCGCATATTCGCCACTCATGGAGCATCAGGAGCTCTCGCCATGTTATTGACAATGTTTACCGATCCTGCATATACGAAGAATATCTGGATGGTGGAACCAACTTATTTCCTGGCCTGCCCGAGCTTTCTTGATGCAGGGTTTACAGACCGACTCCGTGGTGTACCAGAAGACAAGGAAGGCATCGATATCGAGTATCTTCGCCAACATATCTCGGAAGCCGAACGAAACGGGGTATCGAATACGTCCTCGATGGTTGATAAGAGGAGATCGAAACTCTACCGCCATGTCATATATGCTGTACCGACGTTCAGCAACCCTTCCGCAAAGACCATGTCTCTACGGCGGCGTAAACAATTGATCCATCTTGCTCGAGAATTTGATGCTCTCATCATAACTGACGACGTGTATGACTTCCTTCAGTGGCCGACCGACGAGGGCGCACTAGTGGATATCGATCTTCCACCTCCTGAGCCGCGACTCGTTGATCTCGATCGTGAAATAGAAGGGGGACAGCCTTGGGGCAACGCCGTCAGCAACGGATCCTTCTCCAAGATTGTCGCGCCAGGAGTAAGGGTTGGCTGGGTTGAGGGTTCTTCTCTGGTAGCAGAAGCACTTTGCAAAGTTGGCTCGGTTGCGTCGGGAGGTTCACAGTGTCACTTCTCGTCCATGGTCATCAATCAACTCATACGATCCGGAGACCTTGAGAAGCATATTCGAGAGACATTAATACCAACGTATCAAAAGCGGGCTCGAGTTATGATAAAGTCTATCAAGAAACACATATGCCCGCTCGGATGGACGATTTCTTCGAGTGCTCCGGAATCTAATAGCTTCTTTCATAACGGGGACAGCAAAGATAGCGCAGTGGTCAATGGTGGATTTTTCATCTATCTACAAGCCCCAGAGACTTCGCCGCCTGTGGACCAATTAGCAAGATATGCGCTAGAAGAGCATAACCTTCGAGTGGCTCATGGACGAATGATGACGGTCGCAGGAGACTCAGAATGTTTGCAGAGAGCTGAAAAGCCTAGTGGTTTTGGACAAGGCTTACGTCTATGCTGGGCATGGCACAAGGAAAATGAGATCGAGGAAGGTATTTTGAGGCTGGCATCCGCGATCAAAGCCGTGACAAACCTACCATAGATTGCACGAGACATCTCTAGAACGATTTGCACAACGACCAAATGTCCGAATTCATCAGGAAATATTTGTGAAGATATTACTCTTCTTTCTATTACAGAACCCTAAACAAGCACTCAAGCCATTGGAAGACGGTCACTCTGCATGACATCAAGAAGGCTTATGATCACAATGAAGGACAATGGTATGTGCAATGGTTTGTTCAAGACAGGTAAAAAAACAATACAAAAAAAAAAAACCAAGACAAAAACCCGGAGTGCTTTTTCTGTAATCATCCTGATACAATTCCAGGGCTACCAGCAAGTCTAAGACAGTACCTGATGTACATACGAACAAGGCATACCCCTGACCAATACTTGATGTGGACTGATAACGTCGGACAAATGTCCGACGCGCCTCTACTAGCAGCCAGTCATGACTCGCGGTGGGTCTAAAGACCAACAGGCTTCTTGTGGCACAGAGATACGATACCCCACAATACAACACAACTACGGTCGTGCATGCAGAAGATCCGCGACCGCAATTGATATCGCTATCTATCTTGGTATGATGGGGCGTAGTGAGATCTGTGGTTGATTCGGGCGCGCATAAGAGATGAGCATCGGGTGGTGGTTCATGACAATCTTTCCCTAAGAACTCTCTGTTTATCCTACAACTTGAAACCCCGGGCTTTACTAGGTCTTCGGCAGAAATAATGGACCAAATCAACAAACACCTCCAACCAGACGGTAGCAGTATGGCCGGAGACCAGAAAGAGGGATACACTGAACCGATATACTCGAAAGGACGAGATGTTGCTGCCGACCTTGTACAGAGGTTCGCCAACGAACCGGATTATGACCGAAATGAAGAGAGAAAGGTTCGCTTCAAAGTCGACTTCCGCCTGATCCCTTTCCTATTCCTCAACATTACGCTTCCGGCCATGGACAAGATCACTCCGTCCACTGCTGCTCTTTATGGCCTTCGACAAGATACGGGGTTGACGGGAGACAAATACGCATGGGTTGGGTCTGCATTTTATGTGAGTCGCTCTTGTCTTTGTGCAATGGGTATCAACGGAGTCCATCATACAAGCATCGCACTCCACATGTGCTGACATAAGTGAACTAGTTTGGTTATCTCATCTGGTGTCTTCCGTCTTCTCAATTACTTCAACGTTTTCCTATTGCGAAGACCATGTCGTTCATGATTATTATCTGGGGGATAATACTCATTGGTACTGGATGGGCGAAGAACTTTGCCACTTTAGTTGCTCTTCGAGTTTTGTTAGGTGCTCTTGAAGCGCCTGTTGCTCCGGGGAATTTTATTATCCTTACCATGTGGTATACGCGTGCTGAGCAACCAGTTCGAGCTGGCCTTTTCTACACAGGTAGCTAATTCATTGTTCTTCCTGCTATGTATATCTGACCAGGTTTCAGGACTTGCAACTCTTATTACAGGCACTCTGGGCTGGGCGGTTGGCTTTATAGAGGGAGAAAATGCGTGGCGCAGCTTCTTCTGGATCACAGGAGGCATCACTGTTGTTTATGGCTGCCTTGTGGGGATCTTCCTACCCGACAACCCGGTCAAAGCCAAATTCATAAATGACCGGGAGAGATTCGTGGCAATTGAGCGGGTCCGGGCTGATCAGCTTGGAATCGAGAACAAGAAATTTGATTGGAAACAGTTCAAGGAGGTGGCAACTGACCCGAAGACATGGCTTATGTTCCTCCTCAATGTGTTCATATCGATTCCGAATGGAGGTTTGACGAATTTCGCGCCTCTCATTATCAATGGGTTGGGCTACTCGTCCCAAAGGTCGACGCTTCTTATGATGCCTACTGGTGTCATTCAAACACTGAGTAGCTACGTGTGCAACTTTGGGGTCTTCTGGGCAGTTCGCAAATTTCCACATCTGCAGCTTCGCGGAGCGTTCGTCATTGGTGGTCTTCTGATTGGAATGATTGCAACTATTTTTCTCTACACTCTACCCACGACTGCTTATGTTAACCGACTGCTGGCGCTATACTTCTCATACTTCTACCTTGGACCTTACATTGGTATGTACATGCTTCTTATATGGTTGTTGGCACCGAAATTGACTGGGCTTAAGTTTCTGTTGGCATGAATAGCGCCAATACTGCAGGACATACGAAAAAGGTGACTGTAAACGCTATCATCTTTGCTGGCTATTGTGTGAGCAATATCATTGGACCACAATTCTTCAAATCATCACAGGCACCGCTATATCCACTTGGTATGGGTGCTATGCTTGGCTCATATATCCTGAGCATTATCACAATGGTTTTATACATGCTCTATTGTTGGAATGAGAATCGCAAGCGTGATCAAATCGATGCTGCGGCAGGGGAGAGAATTCATTTGGATACCGATTTCAAAGATCTAACCGACCATCAGAACATCCACTTTAGATATGTTTGGTGAAGGTTCAGACTGAAAGGGGAAAAGAGCGTCGAAATCATCGAAATCAATTCCGGCCGCTTTGTTCAAGTTATTGTGATAATGAGCGGAGCCTCGTTTGCTGGTTGTGCGGGAAGCTCCCTTGGAAATTACCTGGTTCCTGTTTTCATGTTAGGTCATTATGGGACATGGTAGCGGCACGTGTAGCTGGTGAATTGAATACTTCAGCGGCAGGCCTGCGGAGTTGTGTCGTTCAAGTATGTGTGAACGCGGTCTTATCAATGCACCATATGTCCGTATCCTCGCTGCGAAAGGCCTTAAAGAACTTTCTGTTCTCGTAGCTGCTCGTGTAGCATGTTGTATCGAAGGTTGTCCGGCAAGGCTCTAATTGCCAGTACCTACCTAGGCATAGCCTCCGCGAATTATCTGCTCCATCCGAATCTGCCGTAATGATATCGGCCGAATTACTGGACTTGAAAGATTCAAGTAGTAAATAGCATCGCCATACGACTTGATCTCAGCAGCATCACTCTCGTTTAGCGCCTCCTCGATGATGGTTAATATCAAACTATTCTGGTGCCTTGCCACAGCTTCCCAAGTGTTGGTCACACAAGGACGTAAGCGTGATACCATGGCACGGGTCCATGTCCCCTTCCAATTTATCACAGCAGAACTCTGATTTCCGGGCAGGGAATGA